CGTGCGGATCCACACCAGATGTTGGCGCTTCCTGCACGGCCTCCAGCAGATTGGGGGCGGCTGAAGATTTCACATCAAATTGCCCAAATGAGCACCTTTGAAGGGTTTTTAACCTCTAAATGAAAAAATGTCCAGGGGTAAATTCCTGGGAACCTGAGAAGCTGCAAAACGAAAGCCAGCGCTTCCCCTTTTCGACAACTGCGCGTCGAAGCAAGCAGAGAAGAGGCATTGCTGCAAGGCCTAGTATCGCCATGGACAAAAACCGCTACAACCAAGTTCCTCAATTTGTGGGGCTCGAAACCCCTGCGTTTCGAGCCCCACAAACCCCTTGCCATGCGAGCACCAGGCCGCATGCGTCCACCCAAGTACACTTCGTGTGCTATGAATACAAGTCTGGAGAAGGAGGGCCGACGGGTACAGAACCATGCAGTAGAGATTATCCAATGATCGGCGTTTTAGAACAGATCAATCAAGTTCCCCGATTTGTGGGGCTCGAAACAGTAGCGTTTCGAGCCCCACAAACCCCTTGCCATGCGATCACCATGCCGCAAATGATGCAAATGATGCATTTGGCATTTCTTGCATCACCACCCCTCAAAAATCACCTCCAACACAACCTCAAAAAACCTTCCCTCGAAGCACCCTCCTCCCCCAGCATGTGCCGAGTTTACGTGTACCTTTCCCGGGCCACCCCCCCAAACCCCCTAACTACTCACTTCGTTCGCCAGACACAACTCCGCTAGCGCCTTCTACGAAGGCTGGCTTTCGTAATTTGGAACAAATAATGGCTTGTAGGCAGTGCTCGAAAACATGTTCCCTGTAATCCCCAAGCAGGTAACACTGTTAGCGCTCACCTTCTCCAGTGCGCCCAACGGCCTCTGACTCTTGCAGCTCCAGCACAGACGTTGGCGCTGCCTGCAAAACCATTGTAGTACTGTAGGTCAGAGAACCTCTAAACGGAAAAATGATCAGGAATAGATCCCTAAAAAGTTGGAACACCGCCAAATGTGCCATGTTAGTGTTCTGCTTCTGACTCCACTTTCCCGCCTCCAACGTGCGCAGCTCTACACCAGATGTTGACGCTTCCTGCACGGCCTCCAGCAGATTGGGGGTGACTGAAGATTTCACATCAAATTGTGGCCAGATAAGCACTTTGCAACTCCTTCAACAGATGATGCTGGAATTGATTAGGTTGGAGAACCTCCAAAAGCAAGAAAGGTCAGCGGCAGATCCCTGGGAAATTGAAACACCACCAAATGCGCCATGTTAGTGTTCCCCTTCCCCCTTCTAAGTCCACTTTCCCGCCTCCAACATGTGAAGCTCCACACCACGAGATGTTGCAGCTTCCTGCACAACCTCCAGCAGATGGGGGCTGGTTCAGGATTTCACATCAAATTGCCCAAGTGAGCATCTTTTTATAGACAGTGCTTATAAGCATATGGATCCACGGGACACACGATGACACTAGAATTGACTAGATTGGAGAACCTTCCCATGCCAAACAATGGTCAATATGTGCCATGTTAGTGTGTCTCTTCTGACTTCTCCAATTTCCCTTGCAATGTTCTGATTTTGATTTGTTCAAGAGCTGTCCCACACTGTCTTTTCCCTTCTTCACGTCAGTTTCGTGAATTGAGATGCATTGCTGTACCATTCTAATTATTAAGCTGGATTCACGCTCTCCCTGCTGGATTCACGCTCAGCCTAGCTTGGCGAGAAAGAACTGTCCCCTCTTGATCTGCCAGCCCGACTGCACCAACTTGTCATACACATAGCGGTTCCGGCTCAATGGAGTGATGCCTTTGGAACAAGAAGCGTCGACATATTCCAGGTACAGCAGGCACAGGCACTCCTTTTCACTGTTGAAGTGCTTTGCCCATTCTGGACTGGCCTTCCAAGAGGAGATTGGCTGATTGATCAAGGGAAGCTTCCTCGGCTTCTCCTGCTTCACGACGAAGGTTGCGTAGCGTGTTTTCTCTTTTCCAGCTGGTTCTGGTGCGACCACCCATTCCCCCGTCTCCTCATCTGAAGTGATGATGTAGTCGGGACTTCCCGTACCATCCATGGCGGGAGAGGCAAACTACAAATCAATAGTTACATATAGTTGTTGTCATATTTGTGGTCTATTTCACAGGCTAGTGACACTTCTTTCTTTCTACATAGTAGTAGCTTAAAGGCCTGCATTGGCTCACCGTGGGAGAATCGGCCAGCTTCATGGCTGAAACTCCGGCTTGAGCTTTCAGCTCTGGGCGCAAAATGTCCGTATGAACACCACAATATGTGCTATGTTAGCATTCTCCTTCTGACTTCCCCAATTCCCGCCAAAAGCAAAACATCTCAGGGGTGGATCCTGGGAAAAAATTGGGAAAATGTCTAAGGCAGAATCGGCACCTTTGAAAAAAAACCTTGTGGGGGCCGTCGTGAGCTTGGGAACTTGCGACACCTGGGAAACCTGCGAAGCCTGTAGCATCTCATCTAAGCCGGCTCCATTCCATCCAAAATCGATCCGCTCCGTCCGTAGTGAAAGCCTGCAAGCTGCCCATGCATTCTTCAGCCATTGCCTGCAATGGCAAACATTTTAATGGGCCACAACTACGCTAACCTGGAACACATCTTCCATCCTACTGGACATCAACTCTTTTCTACAGTATGTGAGTGATTATCACTGAAGGATGATAGTGTCCCTCACACTCAAGTAGTTCTCCAACACATTCAATAAGTCAAGCCGGCCTTCCCTTTGGCCTTTTGTGGATGGCCTTTAACAAATACAGCAATGTGGAAAAGCCACAAGAGTCCATCATGAATCTTCCATCCGACCCTCCAAACTGCTCCATCCATATTGCAAGCCTCCCAGAATGTCGGCCAGTGACCCCGATCACGAGCCAACAATTGGGCTGCGTATGGCTGCGCGACGCAAACATGGAACGCAACTTGCCATCGCGACTAGGTTGGAGGCCATAGCTATTAGGATAGAGGCCATCGGTGGAGGCCCACTGCAACCGCCTTAGAGGCTCGCAAATCTAACATGAAACGGGGGGGGGCACCCAGAATTCTAGGGTCAAATGGTCCATGTTAAATTTGGCCCTGACTGATACCAGGGCCACACAAGGTTATCAACCGGAGGTTTACTGCTTTGCGCAAATTTAACATGGAACGTGCAAAAATGCACTTATGCACCCTGGCACTAACATGGAACTGAATCGGAAAATCTCATTTTTTCATCGAGATGTTTTTTTTCCCCGGAGTAGTATTATATAGTATATATATTGCTGAAGGCGAGTTGGCAAATGAAGTATTGGTACACGGTTGCCAAGTGCTGGTTGATGTCGGGAGGCATCTGCATCTGGAAGTTTATACAGGAAACATGTAGTCTATCATATGGTAGAATTCTTCCCTTCCTCAATTCTACAATGTGGCCGCCACCTTCTCCCTCCACATCTCTCAATCCCTCAACTCAGTCCAGCAGGCGTACCGGGTTCAGCCCGGTGGCGGGTCACACGTGGAGCGCGGTGGCGCGGTGCAGCAAGACCAGCAGCGCCGCAATGAGCGGTGCCCAGGCGGAAGCCACGTCGGCCGCGACGAAGAGCAGCGCCAAAAGGTGTTCCACCACGCGCCAAACCAAACCTCTCAAGGATATATTTGACCAGAACCACCATCAGGAGGAATGTGAACAAAGGAGACCAGCAACCAATGTCTTTTAGGTCTGGCTTCTTCCACAAGTCATCTAGCAGAAACCTCAAGCCCCAAGCATCTGTGGGAAGGAAAAACGGGTGGGCAATACTTCTCCCTCCCTAAAGCCCTCTTGATGGGCCACCCATACAGGTTGGGGCACCGAATGAAACAGGTTGGGTCAACAGGTGCACCCTCAAAATTCCCTAGGGCTCCAACCACCTCCGGTTGGGGTGGGTCTAGCCACCTTCTGAGGATATGGTTGGAGCTTTAGGGATCATAGGTTGACCGTCTCGACACATGCATAACCCCTATAGTGATCTACGGATCCACCATCGAAGGCACGACTGGGCCCTCCAAACTTACATAAAACAAAAAAACACTACAAACATGTCGAACACATCACCTTCTAAGAGGGGGGCAGTGGTCATAGTGATCAATCATACCTGTAGAGCCTGGCCTGTTCTTGGCAAATGTTCTCTGCAAAGGCCTGGGAGATGCGGAAATCTTGGGTTCCAAATCGCATTCCGTTCATACGCCACATGGCTGCAGCCATGTCTGAGATCGGTTGAAGCAGCCAAACCCGAAGACCCTCCCCCTTCTTGTTTGAAGATGTAGTGGCGTCGACACTGAGTGACTAAGTGGCTGGCCCTTGTTGGCCCAAGGATTCCGTGTCTCCCTTGGCCCGTGATTGTCCTAGATTTCAGTCGGATCAGCCAAGAAAGTCGTTGCTGATTCATCAGTTGCATCCAGGGGTCGGACAACCTTGCCCTCTCTTGAAGAAACAGGGAAGTACAACAAGGCGCTTGCGGAGAGTTTGTGATCCACGTCTGCGTGGAAAGCCCGCTTACGGAAAGCCAAAAAACCAATTTGGAAGCAGAACACGACCTCTGCTGGAACGCGGTCTACCCAAAGGGCATTGTTCACTTGCTTCATCTTGCTTCCTTGCTTGAGTGTGTGGCTCTGGCGCTGCCTCCAACTCCAGAGGTGTTGGTGATTGCACCATGCGTCTGCACGATCTCCTCCGCTGTTCGCTCCGCATAGTGGGCAATCAAGCTTTCCACGTACATGCCACCGACCTGGTACTCGTCATGGCTGAAAACACCAGATGTATCCCAGACCAAACGAATGGGGCTGGAATGGCTATGTCATGACTAGCCCATTTGTGACCTTGATGTAAGTAACCATTCCACACATGAATGGTCTGGGAATATAATCTTCTTCAAACATCTTCGATCATCAACAAAGACTACTTGTTTAACCAGGCCAGAGGCCAGGACAAAATGGCATGTCACATGTCGCATGCGCTCAGTTTCGCGATGAGTTCATCAGGAAAAAAGGCACAAAGCCACTGGCAAACTCTATTTCCCCTAGGGCTCCAACCAACTCCTCAGGTTCGGTGGTTAGACCATGTTAGACCCCCCTGGCATCCACTTCAACATCCACTTCAACCACCTGGTGGGACAGAAGGTGGGACAGGAGCCCTATAGGGTTCATTGGGTAGAACACCATGGCGCTACGAACACCACGGCCGCCAGGGCCAGCAGCAGCAAGTTGGCATGTGGCACTCCAGGAGCAACAGGCATGGCGCACCAGGCGCGCACCCAAGGTTCCAAGCCAAGCGGAGCGGTCCGTGACCCGTAACGCGGGGTCGGTCGTTAGTTAGGCGGTCGTAGTGGGGGGGGCGGCACATCTGCTGGGACACGGCTCTTCTCTTGCGATGGGCTTTCGGGAACGGCTTCCAGCTCTGGCACGAGCTGATGGAATGGAACGGAAGTGTCACCTGTCATGGATCATGCATCATGTGAGAGAGGCGATCCTGGAGAAAACAATGGCAGCGATCCTGGGGATGGCTGCCGTGGGTGCGTTACGAGTTTGTGTAGGACTGGTTTTGCATCTGCCACTGATGCGCACCATGTCCCAAACGCTCCATGTATGCAAGCATGGCCTACGTTTGGTGGTTCTTGGTGGTCGATGTAGTATTCCATGCATGGAGTGCATGGGTGTTGTACCAGGATTTCATGAAGAGCCAGTCGTTCTTTCAGGTAGCCCTCCATTGCCAAAAGGTCCACGTTTTCGCCTTGGGACCTGCACTGGGACCTGACAAAGAGGCCCAATCAAATGCATTCCTCTCAACTGAACAGAAACGGAACAACATCTGATTGGTTTGCCCCTAGCTATAGCATGTGGTCTGATCATGTTTGTGATCAAACTGTCAGACGCCGCAGAATGACCAAAGCAACGGTTAGTCGGTTTCTCAAAGCTTCGGTTCTCAGCTCCACACTTGGAGGCTCTCAGTTCACTCAGAACGACCTTCCCCCTAGCCTTTTAAAGACCACAAATTGATTGACTGCAGCCTGGATATAGATCCTTAAAGCAAGGTCTGTTCGGTAAAAAACAATTCAATTAATGGTGGACGCCTAGTAGGGTTTCCATTGGTATCCATAGCATATTATATAATACAAACTTTAAACATATTAAAAACACACTGACACACGCATAAATATATATGCCAAGAACTTTTTCCACACTTTTTCTTCACCTGCACGCTGGTTCTGCTCACCGGAGCTCGAGAATTACACAGGTATCAGCAAGTCTAGATTCTCCACGTTTTGCAGGAGAGTGTCCCTCAGAAACTTCTTCTCGTACTGGAAGTGTCTCCGTCCTCGGGACACGACCGTTTGTTGGGAGGAGTCCGCGAGCTCGCTGCGAGCCGAAGGGAGCGGGGCCTGCGAGCCGGGAGCGAGGTTCCCGTGAAAAGCGGTTTCACATCGAAGTTGGCAAGGTCGAACCCCCCAGCAGTTTGTAGCGGTTAGCTGCGGCAAACATAGCTCCCAGGTCGGCGACCGTACGAGCACAAATCAACACACATCAATTCAGTTTCAGGTGTCATCCCTTTTGGTTGTTACGGGTGATCTGAACATATCAATGTGGCGACCGTGACCCCGAGTCGCCCCCGCACCCATGGTCAATCGATCACCGGTGGCATGGCGGCACGTCTGATGTTCAGCCCTAGAGGTCAGGAATGGAGCTCACTGAGGTTTCCCAAACACTCCATGGGACTGCCATATATATGCTTACATTGACCCCCCCAAACCATCCCAACCAGGTATATATGGCATACATGGAGTGTCTGGGATTGGCATATTGAATTACTTACATTGGGGTGGTTGAAAAGGGGGTCGATGTATGCAAATATGCCGTGCCATACATGGAGTGTCTCGGTTTGATCATGCAAAACCACTACTCAATCATGAGGCAAACACAAGACCAGTCTCTACAATGTTTCTACTGGGTCACACTGGACCTGTAGGCACTGTAGCACCGTTCTTGGACCAAAACACGAGCTGGGCTTGACCTCCAGGTCACGGGTCACCAACAGAGACTCTGGTCACGAAGGAGCTAAGAAGCTGGTAGATACCCTCTCGAACACCAGATCTAACATCTCCTTGGAAGCAACATCTTCATCGCCATCCGCAAAACATCGTTGTCCCGCTCCTATTCCTGACATGATTCTTGACATGTCCGAGTTCTGACCTTCGCTGGACCCAAACCGCATGCGCATGCGCATGCTACCTCGAATCGAAGAAATCATGTTTGGAGGTCGTTCCAAACCACTCCCTATAGGGATCTACAGATCCACCGTCCACCAACCCTTTTCGGCCACCACTGGACCCGGTTCCTGGCGCTCCGCCGGGTCCAAATCCAAGTGTCTCAGTCAGGGTAACAGTGGATCGATAGGGACCGTTTGTATGCCAGCACCTTCAAAGGGGGTGCCCAATGGAAGCCCCTACACCACAATCAGGGACCTCCAGCCAGGACACCCCTTACAGGGCCTAGGTATGTGTTTGAAAGTTCTGAAATTGGAGGCCAACTACATGCCACATTGACATTGTCACAAGCTAGCGAGTGGTTTCTAAACCCAACCCAACTATGTAGGAGACAGAAATCCAAACCCAACCCAACCGCACGATTCTCATGTATGGCATCATCCCGTTTGTAAGGTTCCCGCAACTAACTGACTCACAAGGACTGCAAGCATGACCAAACAGCTCTGCCCGACTACCAGCACCACCCAGGGTTAGGGTGGTGTATAGAATCCCCTGAATGATGCATTTGTCCATCCAATAGCCACCCGAACTGGATGGTTCTGGTACAGCTCCTGGTCATTTTATTTGTTACCCCAAAGCACCTGTGCTGTGCTGTGCTGCCACCAGTCCCCAGCATCGGTCTGTCCCGTGACCGGACCGGGAGTCCATGCTCTTGCAGCAACATCTCGTGCATGCGCTCCACCGCTGACAGCCACTCTTGCTCCGCACTGTGCTCATACTTTGGGTGTTCAAACAAGGCCTCCTGTGGTTCCGCGGGTTCTGCGGCGAGATCGATCGAAAAGCGGAGGAGATGGTCTTCGCACCGGTGGGATGGTGCGACCGGGAGATCCTGTTGGCTCCTGCGTTAGCCAACATGCTTGTGAGAATAAAGCATGTGATGCACACACACACACACATATATATATATATATATACCTGAGGCCCCTTTGGCCTGCAGAAGTAGGTCAGACCCGAGTTTTGATAAAAGTACGGCCCTTTTGTAAAAGTACGGCCCTTTCGGAATTTGACCATTGGAGCACTTCATGGGGAATAAGATGGAACAAGTGATACTGACACAACTGGTGCAGAAAAAGGGAGAGTTGTATTGCCCACCATGCAACCATGTGATGAAACCCAAAAAAAGATCCACCACCACCGCTGGCACCCTCCAGCAGCAAACCCGGTTTTGGCCTCGCTCATCCCCTGCAGGCTCAAGACGTTCAACTCGGCAACCCTTAGCCTCCAGATAAACCCACGATTAAACAAGAACTTCATCACACAACCTTGTGACTTTAAACAAAGTACTTCTGCATGCTTTAAAGGCAGGTGTTACAGTGTAAGGGTCATCTTTAAAGGCTACTGTACCAAAAACAACCCGCGCTCATCCTGGTCAGCATCCTTTAGATGCTTCATTGTTGAAATCAGGGATCGTTGGCAAACACGTAGGTGAATTTGTTTTGGATTCACCCGTCTAGACAGGCGACTTGGTCGCCCGATCCGGTCTTCTTCCATTTGCACACTCTCTGACAAAGGGTTGATGCACCAAACTGTTGAATTTTCTTCAGCCCTTTGGGCTTCACGCAATAGCCGGAGCGCTCCATGGTGCAACATATGTAACTTTGGTACAATACTGAACCTATTGAGCCCTCTACGGTAGACAATCGCAGTTGCAAGGGAATACTTCTGCAGAAACAACAGCCAGAGTTTCGCTATCTTTTGGGCCCTTGGCCACCGAATGAAAAACCCTTCATAGTACATGGCAGAAACAGCGGTGTTCATAGCCGAAGTTCCAATCGCCTGAGAAGGCAAAGTCAAAGACTGGACGCTCCAAACACAGCCCACACATAAACTCAAAAAATTGAAAAAATGAAACAATTGTTGAACCTAATTAACATACTAGGAGCAATTGCCTCAAGTAAGGGTTCACCCTCAATTTCATTCGACCACTCGCTGCAAAGGTTCTCCAAAAACAACATGTAGTGGGTGCTGGCACTTCCTTTGTTCCATGCACCAACAGGGCAATTGCTGCTCTGATGCCAATTCAGAGTCTCCCGCCCAAGCTCCTCACAGTATGGACTGATTTTCCTGCGGGTGCAAAACTTCTTGTATTCTTCACCCAGCCACTCCACCTTGTCATCCATGGACTGAGGTCTCATGGGGAGGTTTTCCAACATGGATACCAGCGAAGATGCCACCCAGTGTTTTGCCAGGCCAAGGTGAAAATTGTGCCAAACGTCAGTTTTGTAGAACATCCAGCTGTCACATTCCAGCATGGGCACCCCTTTTAACATTGGCGGTGTTTCATCCCAAGCTAACCGCTGTCCCAAAGTAGCCTCCCACAGAGGCCTGCCAGATGTGTCCTCATATGGCACTGAGTTTAATCCTCTGCTTGGATTGTCTTCCTGGCCAGCGCAACACATCCAACATATCCCCTCACATGGTTTCCTTGATCTGGATTGCCTGGGACAATTTCCAAAGGAGTACTTCATATTTCCCATTCTCGTGAGGGCAGGGAGGTCCCCCTTTGTCCCAATGTGGCAGCAGCGAACGTGAACTGACCGATCAGAACTCCAAACTCCTTGCAAAAGAAGTTCCTCCATATCTTTCGCATAGATGCCAACAAGATCATCCAAAACCTGGGGTTTCTTTTTGAAGAACTTGCGCAGCATGCAGGCGAACATGTAGTGAGTGGACCACGTGTGGCCACAAAAGTTCAACCCCAGCCCACATCGTTTCAACGAAAGCTTGTCTTTCTTTTTTCTCAAAAACCCACGCGTGCCCCTACCCAAGGCACCGTGCGTGCTCAAGAGCCACAGCGCCTGTTTTTTGTAAGAGCGTCCTTCGTCTGTATGGCTGAAGACAGGGATTACCAGGGATAGGTCGACCCCGGCCTCCTTCATGGTGAAAAGCTGATGTGTAGGGTACACCGATTGATAGCGTTTCCAAAACTCTTCTAGCTTCGCCTGCATACTCTCTAAGTTCTGACAGGCACAAAGTTGTCGAGTCAAACGCCCGGTGTCCAGGAGGTATTTCACCCATGTAGAAAACCTTATGTAAGGAAAGCCTTTGTAACGCTTGCCTTCAGCGAGGTCAACCCGGTCAATCTCAATTGCGCAGGTAAGGCCATGTTTCTCCAACACTGTATGTGCCTTGTTTTCTGCATCCCGAGGTCTAATGGAAGCAAACTCTTTCAAAGCCTCACTGGCTTTCGGATTCTCCAGCACCTCCGCAGCTGCCAGGTTAACCACGTAGGACATGGGTTCCTCAGCGCACCAGAAAACTGTAATGGGTGTAGTTTGCTGTGGCGGATAGTGGGTCAGGATCATGCAAGCACTTCCAATGGTATTACGGTAAAACCCCGTAGAGACAACAAAAAAAGTCTGGAAGAGTGTGCATGGTGCCTTGTCTCACTTTTGCAACGTGCCCCAATAAGTGTGTGCTAAAATGATCCATCAGCCAATCCTTCTTGGCTGATCAGCTCTGCCACCTACCACATATAGAAAGAATGGCGGTTTCGGGTTAGCTCTGTTGAGAGCCCCCTCCCCACCACTTTCATGCTGGTTCCTGCAACCAACATGTAAACTAAAGTGACTAATGCAAGCAGCTTCGAGCATATGAATTAGATCTACACTGGACGACTTTGTGAGTACCCACATGGACGTGAACCCCTGGTCCAAGTATGATACATATCGACGTATGGGGTTCGCTGTTACGCCCACTTTAAAGACACAAAGCCTGACCCCAATACTTTCCCTGAACGCACTAATTTGCCCTTTGGCATGAGCTAAAATTTTCCCACAGCTGGGCGGTCGTCCACGGGTAGCGCAGTGGTTCAGAAGCTGGAATCGCCGAACAGATTGCCAGTCAAAGCTATCACCATCAAATGTATCCCCCAAAGCTGTCAGGGTGGCAATAGCAGTTGAAACCGATTCCTTAGTCATGTGGTCACGCCACCTAACTTCCGAAACAGAGCCGAACAGCAGTTCATACAACAAACACCATGCATTCATGCACTAGCTCGTTTCCTCATAATGTATTTGTGGCTTTTCTTGCCATGGGGCTGCTCCGTGTTCACCAGCTGTGTTTTGTGGAGGACAAACGGGAGCTGCGCACTCGGCTATGGAATCGTTCCTAGTGAAGTACTCCATGTCAGGGAATGAATCGAAATCGAACTCACTTTGTGTGGCCACCCCTCCAGAACCATATCCATCAAGCCTAGGACAGATCATCAAATATTAGAGCGACAGCTTGCAGAATTGTCGATGGTACAGGAATTGTAAGTCACGCTCAATAGAACTATAGCATTTGCCAAGAAACTTGAGAGCTTTTGGGCAAGGTTCTTCAGGCTGCGGGATGTCAGCAGCCCGCTTTCCACCAGAAAAATGAAGCAGCTCTCCCAACCAATCTTCCATGTCAAGGGGCGCTTGGTCGGTAAGTCTGGGTTGATCTACAAAAGTTGAAGTCTTGCAAGTAAAATATAAATATGTTGATACAGTTTGATCCATTTGAACCCATGGCTGCATGAGGAATGCCCAGGATATTTTGGTTAGCTTGTTCATGGAAGCCCCACCAGCGCAGGACCCAACTGGCTGAGGATCTGGCTCCACGAGCAGCAAAGCCAGCAAGATGTTCAAGGACACGTCCCGGCGGTGCATCTCTCTTTGAACCTGGCATCACGGATTTAGAGCTTGCAACAGCAAACCATCTCATTTAACATCCAGTGGGGCGCAAGGCCACCATTTTCACCGATCTTGCGCAGCTCCAGTAAGCAGATTTTGTTGGCATCCATTTTGGACCCAATGAAGCACGTGCCATGCACATGTTAGCCAATCCCCTTAAGATGCAATGGCGAAAGCTTTAAGAGGCCGCCACTGCAAGAATCCCTTCGCTGTATGGAAGGGCCCCGTGGATTTGGGACGCAAACATCAACGACCCGGCGTTGAAAGGCATCCCAGCTCAAACTCCTTTCAGGATGATGACTTGCTCACCATCTTCAACAGACTCCTTGGCTGCGAGGCAATCCATGAAAGATGGGGGAGATGGGGGATGTGGGGGCTAGTGTGGAGAAACTCATAACCATGATCACACCTTTCTATACGCCTTAAATTATTATGGCTGAACTTTGCGAGCAACCCTCACCTAGACTGTAAAAGCCAAAGATCTTTCCAGAAGTCTCAGCAGTGGTGACTTTGGCACATGCCTTCTGAGTAGCCTTCAGCTGGTTTTCCACTTTGGTGATCAACCTCAAACTCCCAGCATCACGTGTGCAAGCAGAACCTGTATAGAGTACACATCCCAGGGTTTCCAAGAATAATGCAATATAACAGATGTTCAGATTCCTGACTGGAAGGGAACTGAATTGGCTGCAAATAATGAAGGGAAGTAGCGGTTTTGCTTCCTTCTCAGGCAGCTTCCCATCTTTGAGGTCCTCCACCTCGGCCTTCAGTAGTTCAACCTGTTCAAACTGCTCCTCCAATATTTGGACAGCCTGATCGATGGTCTTTTGCACCCTTAGTAGCGACACGTGGGAGGGATCATGAGGGATCTTCCTGCAATGTACACTTGCTTGCATACGTCATGCTAGCAACCAACCCCTTTGTATATGCACTGCTTGCAAACTGTTGAAAATATAGCAGATTCGAAAACTAAGTCAAACACTTTGTCACCCGGTCACGATGGGGACTAGACTGGTCATCCTTCATGGCTTCATCCAGCTGACCCGCGATATCGTTCAGTTTATTTGATCTCGACAGTAAGGTGTCC